ACCCTCTGCAATAGTCAATGCCAATTATGATCCACACAAATCCTTCGGCTATTCCATGCCCACTGCAACTCATCCAGAGATGAAGCTTTGTATAGCAAGGGAACCGAGATTACAAACTGCAGGTTTTAAAATGTCAAGAGGGCCCCATATCTTGGAGTGAGAGGGTGGGTAATTTACAGTAGCTTCTTAATAGTTTTCTATTGTCTCTTTTTAACCATATGGCTATATTATTTTTATAAATAGATAAAAAATCAAAGTAGTTCTATTTTTTTAATGGTAGATAATTAAGAATATGAGATTTTAGTAAAATAAAGGCTCCTGTGACTATAGTAGGAAAAAACACAAGAAAAGGTGAGAAGAAATGCAAAACAAAGACAAATAGAACAGAAAGAGCTTTAAGTCCTCAAAGAATAAATATACTGAGCTGAAAAGATGCAATACATATTTGGCCACAGTGAATAAATTTAAAAGAGGAATCAGGCCAGGCACAGTGGCTCACACTTATAATCTCAGCAAGCCTGGGCAACATATAGAGACGCTCACTGTTAATAAAAATAATTGTCAAAAATTAACTGGGCATGGTGACACATGCCTATAGCCCTAGCTATTTGGGAGACTGAGGCAGTAGGATCATTTGAGCCCAGGAACTCAAGGCTGCAGCGAGGCATGATTGTGCCACTGCATTCCACACTGGATGACAGGGCAAAAACTTGCCTTAAAATAAACGTCGCCGGGCTTGGTGGCTCAGCCTGTAATCCCATGCCTTTGGGAGGCTGAGGTGAGTGGATTGTCTGAGCCCGCGGGTTCGAGACCCGCCTGGGCAACTTGGCGAGACCTCATCTCTACAATAAATCCAAAATCAGCCGGTCGTGGTAGCGCGCACCTGTAGTTCCAGCTGCTTGGAAGGCGGAGGCGGAAGGATCGCCGGAGCCCGGCAGGTCGAGACTGCGGTGGCCGGAAGCGGCCACTGCACTCCAGTCTGGGCGACGGAGTGAGACTCCAACTCAAAAAAAAAAAAAATGTCAAAGAGAAGTCAGTTATTTCATACGCCCTCAGAGGAGGTAAAGTACACAATAAAGTGGCAAAAGTAGATCTGACAAAGAATGTTATTTGAATATACTACACTTTGGTGGGTGATGTCCCATGAGTGTGAAAACAAGTTAAGGTCAGTCGAAAGCCAGAATGACTGAAGTATCGGTGCTGGCCCCACTGGCTCGAGGCCTTGAACTGTAGAAGCAAAAGCTCCATTTACAGAGCAAGTCTATACCTGTAGAAAGTAAACGGCCACAAATACCAGGATTGTATCTTCAAGAGCCAGACTTACGTGCCTCATTTACTCTCTCAGAATTCACTGAAGTGGGGAGGAAGAGTAATAAATACTACAAGAACAAATTACTGACTATTCCAGAAGGTTCTTTCTTCAATCGTAAACATTTATCACCCTCTCTCCATCTCTGAACTTCCAAAATAACTAATCATCCTTCAAAAGCCATCTGGCTGCAGTAGCTCATGCCTATAATTCCAGTACTTTGGGAAGCCAAGGAGAGAGGATTGATTGAGCCCAGGAGTTCAAGACCAGCCTGGGCAACATAGTGAGACTCTGTCTCTACAAAAAAATAAATAAATAAGGCCCTCTCTTCTCTGAAGCTTCTCCTAAAACCCCTTCCTCTTACCCTCCACTTCTTTTTTTTTTTTCTTCCGAGTTGGAGTCTCACTCTGTCGTCCAGACTGGAGGGCAGTGGCACACTCCCGGTCACCACAGCCTCGACCTTCCAAGTAGCCGGAACTACAGGTGCACGCTACCACGCCCAGCTAGTTTTTGATTTTTTGTAGAGACGAGGTCTCGCCAAGTTGCCCGGGCTGGTCTCGAACCCACGGGCTTAGGGAATCCTCTCGCCTCGGCCTCCCAAAGTGCTGGGATTATAGGCTTGAACCACCGTGCCCGGCCAGCCCTCCACTTCTTTTATACTACTTTTCCTCTTATACATTACCTATCACTGTATTACACTGACATTACTTATTTACATAGTCGCTCTCCACTAAACATTCACTGTCCAGCTCTGTCTTGGTCATCTGTGTTTCCTAATAATTAGCATAGCACCTGGCACATAAAAGGAACTCAAAACTTTTTTGTGAACTGGGAGAGACTGGCAAAAGATTCTATTTCTGAGATTTTTCACCATTACTAAACAAATAAGAATATGTATAATGAAATATTTAAATAAAGAAAACGTATTCAGTTTAAAGACTAAAATACTCCAGAGTAAAGCCTCACTAATATGACCTCTTCTGATTTAAGAACTGATTATCCCTTTATCTGAACTACACTGAAATCTACCTGGACGATTCAGGGAGACAGAGTTTGGGAGAAACACAAATGGTAGAGCCACCAGGGTGAGGGAGAGAAGCAAGGAGGCATCACATTCCCTGTTTTTCTTAAGAGTAAACTTCTTTAAGGGCCATGGAACAATTTTACATGAAAAAGAGTGTTGCTTTTCATAAATGAAGATAACCAAAAGCAAATCGAATGCCTGGGACAACATCTGGTCAACAGCTGATCAGCATTTCTCCTACCCACAGGCTATACTCTGATTCCACTTTCCACTCCCTCCCAGAAGCTCCTGAATGCCGCTTCTCCATGACATCACTCACTCACTCAACCTTGGTTAGCCAGCTAGGAAACACACAGAGTTTAACACTGTCAGCTGGTATTTCACACAAAGGGATCTTCACCTCTCACATTAGCTTTGGTTTTCCTTTACAAGAATTTCTCCCCTTGTAATGCCAGTCTTAAGGTTCCTGAGAAAATGCACTGAGACAAGAAAAAAAAGGAGATGGCAGAGTGATTAAGAGGACAGCTTTGGAGCCTGACCGATCTCACTGAAATTCCAATCCTGTCACCTACCGAGGAATTAATCTCCAAGTCTTGGTTTCCTTAGCTATGAAACAAAAATAATAACAGAACCCACTGAGTAATCATAAAGATTAAATAACGCAATGCATAAAAAGCGCTCAATAAAGTATAATAATTATTATTCTCGGCACCAAAGTCAAGTTAGCATGATGGTTAAAAGCATGAGTCATTCTGTCTGAGTTTAAATCCCTACTCTGCCATTTTCTAGTTATTTTGGCAAATTATTTAACCTCTCTTTGCCTAATGACCCTTAAATGGAGTTCCTGGGACTATTAAATGTAACACATTTAAAGCAATTAGAAAAATGCCTGACACAGAATAAACTCTCAATAAACACTAGCTGTTGCTATTATCTGCAGACATCTAGAAAAGAGTTCCTACACATCAAATTTTAAAATTTAAAAGGTGACAAATGCTATGAATAAGCAATAAGAGAAAGAATATAAATGGGCAATTAAAACATTAAAAGATGTTCAGCCTCATTAATTATTAACAGAATGCAAATTTAAAACAATAATTTCATTTTTCACCTAAGATTTTGTACAAATTAAAAGATAACATTCAATGCTAGTGAGTAGAAAACCATGCACTCCCAATATACAGTTGATCAAATAATAAATTTGTACATTTTTGAAAGGTGATTTGGTATTACCTATCAAAAATATAAAAAAGCATATGTCTAAAAGAAATATCCATCAAAGTGGGCAAACATATGTAGAAGAAACTGGAAACACCCCACACGCCCATCATCAGAGTGCTGGTCAAACAAATAGCTCTACAGCAACACAGTGGAAAATAGCCATTAGAAAGAATGTTGAACATCAGTATGTCCAGATACGAAAACATATTCACTACATATTATTAAGAATAAAGTTACAGAACAGTATTTATAGTATGATGCCATTTTATTCTTAAATAAAATTATATACCTATTTATATATTTATCTCAATGTGCTTGGAAGCATCTGAAAGATATTAGTAACTATATTTGACAAATGTGATGTCTATATTATTTAAATTTTTGCAATATGTTTGTACCACTTTTTATTTTTGACTTGTTGGTTTTTCAAAGAAAGCATAAGAACAAATAATGATTAAAAGCACTCAGTTTCCTAAACAGTATCCTGGATTTGCATGCTTGCCACCTACTAGCAAGGTGACCTCTTTGCCTCAGTATGGCTATTTGTAAAGACCAACACTAATACAATATATGATATCTATATGATATGATATGAGCATATGATATCTATATGCTAACAATAAAACAATAATAGCTATGTTGTAGGGCTCCTGATGAGCATAAAATGAATTAAACGGGAAGCCCAAAGAACAATGTGTGGCACAGAATAAGCACAATATGGCATATATCTACTACTATTATTATTGAGTAGCATTCTTAAGAGATATCACTTCAACCAAGTCATTCCTCAGAAGCCTGTCTAAATCCTCCAATGATCAACACAATTACCAATAGACAATTATTCTAGTAGCTACATTGGCTCTGGGTAAACAATTAACAACACTTTATTTCTCTATTACAGATGCCTGGCAACCTAGGACTCAGATTCTAGAGAGGTTCTCTCTTGTCCTCAACTCCCTTATCTATTCAAAAAAGAAAGCTGACTTAGACAACTGAGAAAACTCTAACATCCTAATAGAATAACGTTACTGATTTTAAAAATTATAGATCTTTATAGCTACTTTAGAAATACACTGCTTGTCACTAGATCCAGAATCTGAAACACAACTCCATACTAAAATATGGGCTCCTTAAGAGAAAAACTCCTTCAATATCAGTCACTTGGAATGCAATCCAGGCATAAAGGACGTCCCCCACCTGGACATAGTCCAGCTGCATTTCCCTATAGGTATTCCAGAGCTCACAAAGTCATTCATTTTGATAGTTTCCTTCCATCTGTCCCACTACCATAAGCACAAATTAATGATATGTTCATCAAGACTCTATAATTTCACAAGTACATGGAGAACAAGAAGCTTTTTCCCACCTGCTAAAAACTCAAATATACCGTACCGTGAAAAGTGTCTCTCACACACATACACACACCCCCAAATTCAAAACACTTACACGAAATGCAGCAAGAATGATTCTTGTTACTTTCTCTTTGACAGATTCTTGAAGAATATCGGACAGAACTGGAATGATATTATAGCGCCGCAGGTGTTCACACATTTGAGGACTGAATGCCAGGAGCCATATTGAAAAGATCATTTGATATTGCAGTTGAAAACCACACTTGTTACTCAAAACTCCCATGATGCTGAAAACAAAACACATTGAGAAAACATTTAGTAAAACAGCACAACAAGATAGAAGAAATAAGCAATTATTCTCTTTTTGCACGAATGGAATAAGCCTTTCTTAATTATTTCCTCAGTTTCTTTTCTGCTAGCAATAATAAGCAGCTGGATTGCTACCCACAGAAGGCCATTTCCGGCACAGTTCCATTTAACCTCTCTCCAAAAGTCACAAGACCTCAGGAAGCAGGAGCACTTGCTGGGTGGAAGCAATGAGAAAGAGAACAAAGACTTGCAATATGGAAGAGGGAATAGGAGAAGGGATCTGACACACAGCAGAATCAAAAGTCAGAACGAGGTCTTGAGTCTGGGCAACCAATGGGTCCGCTGATGGCTTTAAGATACAAGAAACTTTAAAAAAAAGGGAGGGTGAATTTGGAGGAAACCTGTGATGAGTTCAAATTTCACACAGCCAATCATTTAATTTTTAAGTCAGAAAAAGGACTCGGAGGCTTCAGTTTGATCTCTTACTTTACCAATAAGGAAACTAGGAAAGCTCCATGGTAATGAAAGAAGTTATACCAAGGGAGATTATACACATATAAAAGAGAGAGTTAAGCAAACTTCCCTGGAAAATGCCTGCATTCTAACAACGAAGGACAAAAAAAAAAATCACCAAATAAAACCAGAAAAAATGGCCAGAGGGGTTAAGGGGAGCTCAAAACCCATAGAATGTACCACACAAAACAGTGAACTCTAGTGTAAACTACAGAACGTGTTAATAAAAATCTATCACTAATTCCTATTCAACACCCAAAAGGCCAACACCTTAAGAAATCAGATAGACAAGTGGGACCTCATCAAATTAACGAGCTTCTGCAAAGCAAAAGAAACCATCAAGAGAGCAAGGAGACAGTCCACAGAATGGGAAAAAAATATTTGCCAACTGTATATCTGACAAAAGCCTAATATCTAGGATCTACAAGAAACTCAACCGCGCTGAAAGGAAAAAAACAAACAGCCCCTTAAAAAGTGGGCAAAAGACATGAATAGACACTTCTCAAAAGAAGATATACAGGCAGCCAACAGACACATGAAAAAGTGCTCAGCCTCACTCAGCATCAGAGAAATGCAAATCAAAACCACCTTGAGATACCACCTAACCCCAGTAAGAATGGCCATCGGTAATAAAACAAAAAACAACAGCTGCTGGCAAGGATGTGAAGAAAAAGGAAAGCTTCTACACTGCTGGTGGGAATGCACACTAGTACAACGTCTTTGGAAGACAGTGTGGCAATTTCTAAAAGGACTAGAAATTGACTTTCCATATGACCCAGCAATTCCCCTATTGGGAATCTACCTGGAGGAACTCAAATTATTCTACAAAAAAAGACACCTGCACACGTATGTTTGTTGCAGCTCTATTCACAATAGCAAAAACATGGAACCAACCGTGTTGCCCATCGAAGCTGGACTAGATTAAAAAAATGTGGTACATATACACAATGGAATATTATGCAGCCATAAAGAAGGGCAAATATATGGACTTTGCAGCAATTTGGATGGATTTGGAGTCAGTCATACTCAGTGATTTATCACAGAAACAAAGAACTGAGTTCCATATGTTCTCACTCATAAGGTGACCTTGAACAATTATAATGCTAGAAGAAAGCGATTGACAGTAGTGAAAAACTGTCAGGTGGGGGATGATGGGACTGGCAGTTGAGGGAAACTGCCAGGGGAGGGAAGGACATACCTCATCAACAAGGGTACCTGCATGATCACTGATTGTATACCTAACCCTGAACTGTACCCCACATCTTTATAATAAATAAATAAATTTTAAAAATAAAAGTAGCCAGGTGTGGTGGCGTGCACCTGTAGTTCCAGCTATTTGGGAGGCTGAGGTAGAAGGATCACCTGAGCCCAGGGGTTTGAGACCGAGATAAGTCATGATCATGATACTGCAATCCAGCCTTGCTGGGTGCTGTTGCTCATGCCTGTAATCTCAGTACTTTGGGAGAGCCGGGCAGGAGGACTGCTTGAGCCCAGGAGTTTGAAACTAGCCTGGGTAACATAGCAAGACTACATCTGTACAAAGAAAATACACAAATTGACCAGGTGTGGTGATGCACACCTGTAGTCCCAGTTACTTAGGAGGCTGAGGCGGAAGGATTGCCTGAGCTCGAGAAGTTGAGGCTACAGTGGGCCGTGATCATGCCACTGCACTCCAGCCCAGGTGATAGAGGGAGACCCCAACTCAGGGGAAAAAAAAGTCAGTTATGGGAAGAATATACCCTCTTTGAAGTTAGGCTTGGTCTTATGACTCACTGTAGCCAATGAAATTTGAGAGAAAATGCCATGTGTGACCTCTGAGTGGAAGGGTTAAAAGTCAGTGTGTGTTTTGACATATGCTGTGTAACAGAGAATCCGGCCTTGTCTGCAGAAAGGGCCGGTCTTTGGCCTCAGCTTCTACGTCATGCCCAGTCAGAATGTCTTGGGTTTGGGTGGAAGCTAGCCATGCCCCATACTTTCAGGGCAGGGGTGAGCCACACCCCAAAGACTGGGCACGTGATTTAGAGTGGGGCCTTGGGGGCCTGTGGTACTAGTCAGCCTGGAAACCGAGTTCAACCATGGGGGCAGTCATTCAGTCAATCTGTCATGAAGCCCCAGTAAAGATTCTAGACATGGCAGCCCAGGCGAGCTGCCTTGGTTAGCAGTACATTGCGGCTGGCAAAGTAGTGTGTCCCGAGGACAGCTTAGCGTTACATATTTTGTTTGTTTTTGGAATCAAAGTCTCACTCTGTCACCCAGGCTGGAGTGCAGTGTCACAATCCCAGCTCGCTGCATCCTTGACCTCCCGGGCTCAGGCGATCCTCCCGCCTCAGCCCCTGAGTACGTGGGACTACAGGCACACACCACAATGTCTGGCTAATTTTTGTAGTTTTTGTGGAGACAAGTTCTCGCCATGTTGCCCAGGCTGGTCTCGAACTCCTGGCGTCGGTTGATTATCCCACCTTGGCCTCCCAGAGTGCTGGGATTATAGACGTGAGCCACGGTACCTGGTCATCTTTAGCTGGTTTTGATCTATATCTTTTCCTGTAATAAACTGGAACCGTGAGTATAATAGCTTTCAGTGAATTCTGAAAATCATTCTAGTGAATTATAGAAACTGAGGGTAGTTCTAGAAACCCTGAACCTGTGGTTGGTGTCAATTCCGGCGCTGTGGAAGTCTGAGGCAGGAGGACTGCTTTGAACCCAGGAGTTCGAGACTAGCCTGGGCAATGTAGTGAGATCTCATCTCTACAAAAAAAAAATAAAAAAATTGGCTGGGCGTGGTGAGGTGTGTTTGCAGTTCCAGCTGTTGGGGAGGCTGAGGTGTAGGGATCGCCTGAGTCCATGGTTAGCTGTGATTGTGCCACTGCACTCCAGCCATGGTAACAGAGTGAGACCCTGCCCCCCAAAAAAGAATTGAGGGCAATCTTGGAGGCTGTGTTTTTTTTTATAGTGCTGGGTACATGACTCCCACCCTTAACCTCTCACCCGACAGGACAACTGGAAATGTTCTAGATTGGAAGCTCCATCAGCCTGGGTCTTGGGATGAGGGCGGTAATATTGCTGAAGCAGAGCTCCAGACAACCTGTGTAGCATGAATAAGAAATAAATTTTCATTTATTTGAAAAAAAAAAAAAATCTATCAATACTGGTTCATCAATTGAAACAAAAGTACTATGCTGATGCAAGATGTTAATGAAAAGGGAAACTCTGCAGGGCAGGGAGATATTGGTGGGAACTCTGTACTTTCAGTTTTTCTGTAAAACTAAAGCTGCTCAACTAATAAAGATTCAAAACTTGTAAGTCTAAATCTACTATAACTTAGGAGAAGGACTGTATCTATTTCATTTCTCCATTTGTGTGATTTGTATGTAGTTCCAAATTTACTCAACTGTCCTTAAATTTCTCATATGTGGCTTCTCTCTCCTATATTTTTGGTTGTTATGCAAAACTTGCTTTTATTGAATATTGATATCAGCATATAAACTGCTACAAAAGAATGTAATCTTATATTATAAACACCCTCGTACCTGGTATTCTCTGCTCTATGATTGTTCAAGTTACTAAGCTAAGCCTTCTTCGCTTTGCTTTGTGATGCTGTCACTGGGATCCTGGAAACCAAATTTCTATTTTACCAGTTGGCCCCCTGTTAGGCTCTGCCAGAAGCTGGAAGCTGACTGCAAGAATGAATAAAGTAGGGACTTCCCCCTGCTGGCTTCCTGTTCCTGTAAGCATCACCCCAGCAACAGTCCTTCACCTCGGCAGCAGCAGTTCTTTTCCATGGCATCGGCTAAATTCAGTTTGCAGTTTGTCCAGCTCTAGCAGAACAAGCCTCATCACACATCTCAGAGGCACAGTCACAAGCACAAGCCAACTGGGTCCCCTCACCAGAGGGCTGGATCCCGGACCCACAAGGCTCTTCTTCAGAGTTCAGACAAGTCTTCTATATACAGATATCAACCACAAGAAATACCCAGTGAAGCAAAATAAAGCTCCTCTTTACCAGAACAAAGAAAAGATTCGCCTAGGGACAAGAACCCTGAATACGGCGGAACAAGAAAAAGAGCATGCTAAAGGGACACAAAGGCCATGAAGGCCCACAAGAAACCAAAACATACTGACTTAGCAAATACTTATTGAGGATCTACATGGCAGGTACAGGGCAAGGCAGGAGGGACAGATACTGGCCAGGCTCTGGAACAGCTTACAGTCTGGCATGGTAGAGGGCAAGGAATCTCTGAGGAAGAGACCTGAAGAACGAGAGAGCACTCAGCACCATTTAGATCTCTGCTAGCCCTCTCATCACAGAAGTTCAATGTGACTGCTGTGATAAAAGCAGCCGATCAGTGAACTTGGAATTACTTTTAAAATGACTGAAATGGTTGCTAAACAGTTACTAAATTATGTTGTAGAACCCTAAGGGCTACCTTTGTTAGGTATTTAATACCTTCTGACTAGATTATAAACTCCTTCAAGGAAAGGGCCATATAACTTTCTTTGTGTTCCTCATAATACATATCAAAACATTACGCAGAGAGCTCAATAAGTACAAGTAATTGTCAAATACAAGATTAGAAAGAAAGCTAAGGTCCATGAGGCCAACATCACGACTTAGTATTTTGCTTTGCTCCTAAAGTTCTTTTTGTAATCAAACCAATGTCAGGCGCAGGCAGACAAGCAAGGGGCTACTGGTTGGCTTGTTCCTCTCAGTGGGCTGTTGCCCTTCATACCCATGAGCACCTCCCACCTTGTCACGCAATGTCACCCAACAGATGCAATATTTTAACGTGTTCTTACAAAATCCTGCCTTTAAGCTATATGTTACTCTATACTTTCAAAATACTTCAAATTTGTAGCTGTAAATTTTCATAAATGTGGTTAAGTTTGTGGAGGCAGTTCTCCCCCAGCAAAGTCCACTTTTAGCTCCAATATTTAGAAGTCGATGCTAAGCTCAGACTTTCTCTTGAGGTCAACGACATACAACACAATGCAAGACAACATTTTTATCTTATACAGATATATTCAGAAATAGTGTTGTATAATGTATATAATAGGCTTTTGAACCAAAACAGAAAGTCGACACACTATATGGAGTAAAATGTATTGGGTTTTTTTTTTTTTCAGTTATCTTCCTCTCTTCAAGCAGACTATACTTGCATTTTTTTTCCTCCTCACTTTATCCCTGCTTCTGATTTGAAAGGCAAAAAAAAAAACTTTCAATATTAGGCAAAAGAAATGTAAAAATACAAGCACATGTTTTATTTCTGAAAAAAATTAAAAGATTTTCTAAATTGCAATAATATTAAGAAAACCTTTACTAAAGCCTGCTCTCATCCTAAAGATTTATCTATTTGATAACTGCTTATCTCATTAGTGTTCATCAGTATATCAAAATATATTGGTTAAACATGAAATAGTCTAGATTATATTTATGCCTGCTCTTATTGCTAAACTGAGGACTTAATATTGTTGGCTAGTCTCCAAAATACTAAGTACGAGTAATGAGAACAGCAGCATTTGATTTGCCTTGGTATATTAGGAGGGTCCAATAGACCAAATTTTAGTATTTGGGTTTATTTTGAAAGCAATTATAACCATTGCTAGAGATTGCTAGTTCACGACTTTTATTCTTTCTTACAGGTCTTCCAATCAAGAAAAAAAGGTCTAATTTTTATTTAATAGAATAAAATTCACTTTATCTTACAATTACCATCATGGGTCTACTGGACTCTTTTACAAACCTAAGACATCTTATAGGTTCTTAGTTATGCTGTGTCATCATCCTAGAGATTATTTTATCATTATTAATTATAACCAATTATACTAAAAAATAAAAGACTATCATAATAAATAGAATACTGATAGAATCTCACCTAGAAAGACGATATAATAGTGAAAAATAAATCATTATCCTTTCTTATTGCACTGCCCAAAATATCTCATCATCTTTTAGGAAGTTAAAAAAGACTGACAACATCATTTTACTAGTCTACCTTTAGGTTTCTGTGCAGAAAAAAGTTAACGGCAAAGTCCTGAGACTGCTAGCCTTTGAAAGGTCTGCTCACAAAGTTGGCCTTTGCTGGCTTCTGAGAACTTGGCTTGTAAAGTTTCCTACATGAATAGAATATTTTCCCTAAATGATAAGGGTGATTTTCTGTAGCAAGACTGTTTGTACAAGTAGGAGTTTATGCTGAATTCCTACTGCTATGGCCTGAATGTTTGTGTCCCTTCAAAAAGAAAATGTTGAAATACTAACCCACAAGGTGATGGCATTAAGACATGGGCCCTTAGTATTATGATTAGTGCCCTTAAGAAAGGGGCTTGAGAAAGACTTTTTTACCCCTTCTGACCAGGTGAGGCTACAGTGAAAAGATGGTCATCTACAAACCAGAAAGCAGGCCCTCACCAAGCACAAAATTGGTGAGTGCCTTAACTTCAGACTTCTCGGCCTCCAGAACTGTGAGAAATAAATTCCCACTGCTTTTAAGTCACCTCGTTTACAGTATTTTGTTATAGCAGCCTGGACAAATTAAGAAAACTACTTTCCTTCGGGAGTCTGGAATTTTGGTGTGATCTAGGCATAGAGTTCCTAAGTGAATGACCTCCAATAAAAACCTTGGGAGGTGGGTCTCTAATGGGTTTCCTCCACAGAAACCACACACAAATACTGCTGCATGTTCCATACTAGAGGAAGATGAGCTCTGCATGACTCCTCATGGGAGAGAGAGAGGGAGCCTAAGAAAGCCTGCACATGGCTTTCTCTCCAAACTCACCCGCTGTCTTTTTCCCTTATGATCCATCCTTACTGTATCTCTGCAATACACCTTAGCTGTAAGTACAACTACATGCTAAGTCCATGAGTCTTTTCAGTAAATCTCCCAACACAGAGTGAACACAGCTGAGAGAGAAATCAGAATATTTTCTGCCCACAGTGGCAATTAATAGAGAAAATTGTTTCACAATTCTAGATTAATCAGTGGATAAAAGCAAGGAGTCAGAGAGCATTCTGTGTCTCTAACAAAGATGGTGAAATTGGTCAGATAAGTAGAATCTGAAACTATGTAAGTCTTCAGATGACTGTATCATAAATGAATTTTCTCAAATTCCAGAACTGATGAATGAGCAATATATTTCTACAGACAAAAAGGAAATACAGCATTCTCACCTAGTTAGTCATCCATCTTGAAAGAATTCCAGATAACAATGTGCAACAAGAACCTGGGCCATTTTGCTCAAGGACATGTGATTATTTTCTTTCATCTTCTATAATATTTGTGCATCAAAATATACTTATTTTTAAAAGGCTTGCTATGTTTAAATTATTATTAAAATTTATAATAGCGGTATTTCACTCTCTTTATTCTCAGTTCTGTTAATTTTTCAAAAATGATGAAGACTTTTTTTATTTTTGGTCATAGCTACCGCAGCCTCAACCTGCTGGGCTCAGGTGATCCTTCCCTCTCAACCTTCCAAGCAGCTGGGACCATAGGTGTGCGCCATCACACTTGGTTAATTTTTTGATTTATTGTAGAGACGAGGTCTCACCATGTTGCCCAGGCTGGTCTCAAACTCCTGGGCTCAGACAATCCTCTCACCTCAGCTTCCCAAAGTGCTGGGATTACAGAAATGAGCCCCCATACCTGGTCTAAAAATTTATTTATTTATTTTTATTTTTATTTTTTATTTTTTTTTTTGAGTTGGACTCTCACTCTGTCACCCAGACTGGAGTGCAGTGGCCGCTCCCGGCCACCGCAGCCTCGACCTGCTGGGTTCCGGCGATCCTTCCGCCTCAGCCTTCCAAGTAGCCGAAATTACAGGCATGCGCTACCACGCCCGGCTGGTTTTTTGATTTATTGTAGAGATGAGGTCTCGCTGCCCAGGCGGGTCTCGAACCCACGGGCTCAGGCCATCCACTCACCTCAGCCTCCCAAAGGCGCGGGATGACAGGCTGAGCCACCGAGCCCGGCTTAAAAGTTTATTTTTTAATGGGTCTATTAGACCTCGATGACAAACTGTGATGGCTATTTTTTCCCCCTGGGATATTAAGGATTAAATAAACATGAATAGATTGAAATTTTATAGATTAATATAAAAATGACCGATCATTTATTAAACTGATGCATACTGAGTAACTGGGACGATTCAAATCCAATTCACAAGAACAGCCATCTCAGAACCAACCTACTCTAGGAAATTCATGCAAATATTGACTGAGAAGCCCTAAACTATTTGGGTCCCTTCCAAAGGTATCTCCCTACATGGGGAAAACCGGTAGGTACCAATCCAGAGGTGTGGTGTGAGGATCTGATGGAGTCTGAAGACACCAGCATCAAGACGGTTCATTCAGCTCTTGCTCTACTCCTCACTCACCAAGCAACCTGCTGCTGATAACCTAACCTCCTGTATGGATTTTCTAATGAAGTCATGCCCCCACCAACTAAAAAGAGTAGTGGGTTTAAGAGCAGTTAGAGCTCTCATTATGAATAAATCAATTGGCTTTCTGGTGGTAAAGTGGGATTTCCACTGTTTGGGTCTTTTCAGTTGTTTGATTGCATAGGTTTTCTAAACCTGAGTAGGTAGCTCCTCAAAGTTCCTGTACCTGCAAATTAAGAAGCCAAAAGAATGGGATAAATTATATAGCATGAGAAAAGTTTACACTCACTCTTTTCTGGGTAAGACCTTTCCTCATTAACTTTTGCCTACATTGACCACAAAATACCTCTGTATTTCATTTGGTATTCTGAATGCCTGTGTTTGTTCGTGAAGCACTAGGTTCTCAGAAGGACTTAACCTTTTATAGAAATACAGATCAAGCAAGAGGAGGGAGAATGTTCAGTTTGATAGTTACTGACTTCTAAGAAGATTAGCACAGTACATTGTTAGACATGAAAAAATATTTCTTTTAGATGATTAAATGTATTTATTTCTTTGAAAACGTCAGGGAAAGATGCTTCTAAATGTTATTCTATGCTAAAATTCAAGCGCACTCACCAGTTTACCCCATCTGCTTCTACCCAGGCAAATCGGTATTCATTGACCCGGAGCATCAGCTGCAGGCACCCAGCAACACACTGCACGTACTGAGAACTCTATGTGAGAAGAAGTGCACAATTTTAAAACTGGAAAGCATTTAAAGTCATGAGATCATACACACGTGTTTCTAATTAAAAGTCTGATATTTTGCTAGAGTTTGTTAGCATCAAAGCATCCAAAACTCTCTAACATGTTTTTAAAAGTTGATCTTCATGTTTGCTTTCATTTCCACCTCTTAGAAATGAGAATGATTTTATCTCCCAGATTAAATCTACACAATTCAAGACTACTTCACACACACAGTTAGGAAAACCAGAAACAAAATAATTATATCTTTCATACAGGTTGATAAATAAGAATATTGCCTTACAATGTTTCACATACCACTGAAGAGAGATATTATATAGAGAGAATGCTGTTCTACATAATTATAGAAATGCCAAACAATAATAAAATTAGCAAGAAGAATATATACTCTGAGACAGGCCTACACGTGAACAACCTTGTACAACTTACTTACTAAGGACAACACTGCCAAGCACCTGAAGGAGAATTTGTTAGTATGAAGGAAAACAATTCATTTAGCACATTGCTAAACTTAGGTAGGAATTCAATAAATAGAAACTTTATAAAAAATCTATATGGCATATAAAAAGTCTAATTAAATGCTTGAAAAAGATGCCTATGATTTTTAAAACTGTCAGTTCAATAGCACTGTCCTACAGAAACTGCGCTTAAATTCGAAACTTAAAATAAATAGAAATAACACCCTGAGGAAGTTGCAAGCCCCTTCCTTCATTTTGCCAAAGCTAGCAGAAACAACTGGCCTGGGCTCTTCCTTAAATATTTACAATGAGCCTTATATGTTTAAGAAATGGAGAGAGAGAAGAAAATTTCAGATACTAGCCTTCACAAAGAACATGATAATTTTAAATTTTAAAAAAAAAGGCTCATGCCTACAATCCCAGCATTTTGATGTGTGTGTGTGTGTGTGTGTGTGTGTGTGTGTGTGTGTGTGTGTGTGTGTGTGTCTGTGTTTCATCACTTCAGAGGTTCTTTATTAACAATAAAATGTTCATATATATATACATATACACCAACACTTTGGAAGGCCGAGTGAGAGGATTGCCTGAGCCCGCAGGTACAAGACCAGCCTAGGCAACTTGGAGAGACCACATCTCTACAATAAATCAAAAATTAGCTGGGTATGGTGGTGCATGCCTGCAGTTCCAGCTACTTGGAAGGCTGAGGCGTAAGAATCGCCTAGCCCAGCAGGTTGAGGCTGCAGTGGCCGGGAGCATGCTACTGCCCTCCAACCTGGGTCAGAGTGAGAATCCAACTCAAAAAAAAAGGAAAGAATCATAGGTGTTATGTAAATTCACAAAACCTAACACACATGATGCTACGAAACTTTGTTCTAATTTAAATATACTCAGAAGCAACCTTCATAAACATCTAACAAAAAAATTCCAAGTACTCAAATACAAAAACACAACAATAAGTACATTTGGTGGAACAGTCAAACAATATCAAGAAAAAGCGATCTTAGGTTCTACCTAGAAAGTAGTTAATTTAGTTCCGCAAAAACATAGTATATCCTGTAATATAATCTGCCTGAAAACTCAAAACATTAGCAAAAAATAATGACAAAGAAACAGTGCACGTTCATCTCTAAAACAATCTGCAATAATGGAAAAAAATATATTTTTCCAATTAAGTCAGCAGGTAGAAACTTTATCTGAAGAAGAGGAATCCCATCTTTCTTGTTTAGAGAGAGAACCTGAGCAAGGTTTCTAGACATCAATGAATAAAAAGACAACCAACAGCACTCTCTTCTCTTCCATTTATCAATTTCCCTTCGCCGCAAAACCCATTGGTTCAGTATAAGTCTTTCTTTTCTGTGGCCATTCACCACACTATGTTAAAACATACCACACACTGCAAGTATGGATTCTTTGTTGTCACTTATAGCTTCAGTACTGGTGCTATAAATAAGCATATAAAACGTGCTGGTCCTAGAGCTGATGGCACTCTCCTATTGTTCACTACCAGTGGTGCCGTACCATTCCAGAGATTACTTTCAAAGTATATAGAGAGTGACACAGCACTGGTAAATGAATTCCTGCCTTCAATTAAGGTAGAATACACCATTTCCTTGTCTTTCATTTAAATCATCGTAGGATTTTCCTGTATAAAATTATTCAATGATCTTTTGAAAAGAATTAATAATCCAACCAGTCACTACTTCTAATCCTACCATTCAATACTGCTGGAGAAAATCACACAACCATGCAAAGCCATAAGCATTCTGGTCTCTCTCTCTCTGCTAGTCCCCAGAGTTGCTCTCACATGTTCACCACTCTTCTCCTATCCTGCTCCCGTCTCTCAATCTCAGAAGGCAAGAGAAAAACAGAGACCACTCATTAGAGATTCACACAGCTACCAACACCTCACCCCCAAACTGACCTATGTTCCTAGCCATTCTTACCTGTCTCTCATCTAGGAGAGATGGCTGGCCTTCTTCCCATCCAAGAGGCATAGTTCTAGCAGGTTCTGCATCCCCCTCCTCCCACATAATGCTCCTATCAGACCTTTCTGCTACAAGTTCACTCTCTCATCTCTCACATTTTCCCAGGACAGCCTGAGCTATAGGAGACGCCTTGTACACGCTCAAAGGGCCCCAAGCTTCTCCCCTATGGGGAGTGCCACAAGTTTACTCAAATAGTCAACTGTGTAAGTACTTGCTTAACGCTGTCCTCCCTAGATAATGTGGTCCTCCGAAGGCAAGAATCATGCCCACTCTGTTCAGTATTATACTTTCAGCACTGTGCATTGTACTTAGGAGGCGTCCAATAAATATTTCTTGAATGAATGAATGAACAAAAGAAGGGCAAACCGATTCTATACCTTACACTAATTCCAAACAGTGCCCTAATAGATATGGCTTTGACCAAAATTTCCATATGATAATAATCAAAACTGCAGAAATATATAAAGCATGACACTATTACCCTGTTTCTTTCTGGAGCCAAGACTGAATCTGATTGGCTGTTAAAAGTATTTCCTAAAGCAATTATGGGCCTTACAAAATCACCTAATTTTTTAAAAATTTAAGTCATCTCAATTACAGAACAAACATAAATTGCCAATCAATTTTTAGCCTATCCCATGCCACCCTATTTTACTAGGAACTATTAATGGTATAAGAGCTCACTTAGCCAGATTAACAAGTTAGATTTAAATTGCTAAGTAATTCATTTCTCCCGTTACAAAGTACTATCTACATAAGGACTAACTTAGCAAAAATACGTTCACACAAAAAAATGTTTTCTGAGCTCATTGTACAGTTTCCTAAACACAATTTCTTTTTGTCTTAATGTCATTCAAGCATAGTTCCTCTTTGTTGTAAATTTTTTTCTTCTGTAATCAAAATAGATTTTTTGACCCTGACAACTACCAAAAGATTTTCAAAAAAGAAAAAAAACTATTTTTACAAAGACAATGTATTAACATATACATCTTTTTCAAAGTGCTTTCAATTAAAAATCAAAGGAAACAAAAATGTTCCTCTTTCTAATACCAACAGCTCATCCTGATACTAATTTTTTCAGAAGAGGAACCCAAGGCTTTAAAAGGTGAGATAATTTGTTGAAATTAAAATAGTGAGTTAATGCCCAATCAACACTAGAAGTCAACTCTATTTGTGCTTGAGCTAGCATTCTCTGTACATATCCTAGGCTGAAAATCTGCCACAACGGGCACTTTCTATGCAGCAAATCTCAATGGTAGAAAAAAAGCTATTTTTTACTTATCAACACATTTAAGGCAATATTATTTAGATAAATTCTCCAATGTTGCTGAAAATGCAAACGCTTACTATGGGGGGGTATGGAATAATCACATCATAGGGAAAACAGCAACTGACAGAATTAACCTTCTTGGTGAATATAGTTGCACAGATCCATATTCTGCAGAATTACAAAATAATTCAAGAATTGAGTAACTGCAAAATAAGTAGGCAATAAAAGATAAACATTAAAACGTCAATGCTATCATACCAAAGTAAACCTAATGTTATGAAAATGTTTACAGACAAATGTCCAATATTCATCTTCAGAATGCTAGGACTTAAGTGCAAACCAAATGAAGAAGAGTAAAGATAGTATTCACCTCAATTTTGAAATTGTCAGTACTTGAGAAAACAAGTCCACACTGGAGTAAAGGCATCTGTTCCACAGACACATAGTGAAAATGCACAGTACATGGGTATCGGTGAAGGACAAAGATGAACTTCCCAAATACATAACTGACTACAATAAGTTCCAGAAACCAGTTTTACATGACATGGAAAAATGCTGATAAAAGTTCCAAAAGAGCCAGGCTCAGTGGCTCAGCCTATAATCCCGTGCCTTGGGAGGCTGAGGTGAGTGAATTGCCTGAGCCCATGGGTTTGAGACCCACCTGGACAACTTGGCAAGACCTCATCTCTACAATAAATCAAAAAATCAGCCGGGCGTGGTAGCGCACACCTGTAGTTCCAGCTCCTTGGAAGGCTGAGGCCAAAGGATCGCCGGAGCCCAGCAGGTCGAGGCTGCAGTGGCCGGGAGCGGCCACTGCACTCCAGTCTGGGTGACAGAGTGAGACTCCAATTCAATTTTAAAAAAAAAAAAAGTTCCAAAAGTATTTAATGTTTCAGGATTATATAATGACTCTTTTAGAACTAGAAAGTGAGTGTGTGCACATGAATGCATGTGTGATTTTTGTTTCTATCACAGATATTCACTTAGAAAAGTAACACAGGACAATATTAGGCATCAATAGAAAATTGGAAAAATGTAATTCTCATACTTTGTTTAGGGGTACACAAATTGATTCAGAAAACGGATTGACAGTATTTACTTTATCTAAATTTATATATACCCCATTGCCTAGCAATTCCATTCTCAAATTAGGTGATCCAGATATAAGGGTACACAATCTGCCAAAAGAATGTCTTAAGCAAGATTATTCGCAATATCCAAAAACCAGAAGCAACCCAAATATCCATCAATAAGAG